TCCTTTGCCTTTGAGCGGATGCTGGACGGAGGGCTCAAGAAACCCAAGGCTCGCCCCGAAGGTAACACCCACACGGGTCTGGGGGGTGGGGGTGGGGGGCGTGGGCAGGTGGAACCAGGTCTGAGAGGTGCCTGGAAGGCTCTGCCGGCCCCAGCTCCCCGTTCTGCATGTTCGGGGACCAGGAGGGCCTCAGTGGAGTTGGCAATGCCAGTTCCTTGATAACCACTTGGCTCTGCAGGCCTCAGCCTCTGCCATGGGCCAGGGCCTAGTGCCTAAGCTGGCTATGCAGGCCACGTGCTGGGCCGGGCCTCGCAGAGATAGTTAAGGTTACTGGAACTCCATGAGAGTGGGCTGGGGCCCTGACGCCCGCGAGGGGTGGTGCTTGTGAGCGGGCGGGGCACCTTCCTGCTCTGTGTGGGTCTGGGTAGTGGGAAGGAGGCCCATGGAGTGAGGGTGAGGGTCCCTTCACTGTCCCTGCCTGGCTCATGTGGCAGGTCACTGACACCGACACCAGGATTCACCAGTGAGTGTCAGAATCCCTGGGTGGGGGCAGGGCACTCTTTTATTATTTATTTATATTTTGAGGTTTTTGCTATAGGGCACGTGCGCACACCAGAAAGACAGAGAGAGACAGAGAGACAGAAAGCGAGAAATCACCCCCCGGGGGATGGTCATGCCGCAATCCCTTCTCCTCCATTCTCCTCTTGGGATCTTGGGCACGCACGCACACGCGCCCGGTGTGAGTTTTAAGCCACTGGGTCCAGAATGTGAACCGCGGTGGACTACACGGGTGTCCAGCGGCATAGCCATTAGGTTAACTGCTGGTCCCGGGGCAGGGGACTCTTTGACATGTGGTGTGGGGTGGGCCCAGCGATTTGCATGAGCGACACGTCCCCTGTGTTGTGAACGCACCCCAGGCCCCACTCTGTGAAAACCAGTGCCCACACCACCACTCCGGCCAGCCTTCCCTGTGCTCTGGGAAGCGTGGAGCCGTGGAGAGGTGCCTGGCAGTGGGCTCAGTGCGTGTGGACCCCTGCCTGCGCCAAGTCCAGGGCACTGGCCAG